GCATTGAAGCGGCAGCGCCGGGCGTGCTGGTTGCAGGAGCAGGCTGGGGGCGAGAGTGGCCAGGCCCCTGAGGCTGGCCTTCCTGCCCTCCCCAGGTCCCTGCTGCCCCGAAGAAAGGAAGGAGTGTGGACAGGACCTAAGAGGGTGGACTGGGTGCATTGGACAGGACTGGGGAAGGCTGAGGGCCTTCTGGACCTCTCAGTGGGGGGCATGCAGAGAGGAGGGCTGGGGGCATGGAGTGTGGCCTCAGTCAGACCCTGGGTCTCTGTCTCTGGCTGCATTTCTTGAGCAAGTGACAGCCCTTCTGCAACCATTTTGTGCACTGCATGGCTAGTTCTGGGAGCCCCAGTGGCGTGGTAGGTACGAGGTGGCAATCACAAGCCGAGTCGTTTAGAAGCACTAGCTGCGCACCCCCACCCCCTGCCCGCCGCTCTCGGGGAGAAGCAGGAGGCTGTCTGCTCACTGAAAGAGCTACAGCCTCGGAAACCCACAGGGCCAGTTCTGCCCTGTCCTTAGGGTGGCTATCAGTCAGAGTCAACTCGATGGCACTGAGGTTTTTGTTTTGAGTTTTTGAGAGCCAAGTTCGCAATATTGAAGGTACCATAGACCCCCCAAAGGACCAACACATGGGTCTTGGAAGAAGTACAACCAGAGTGCTCCTTAGAGGCCAGGCTGGCAAGACGTGGTCTCCTGCACGTTGGGCATGTTGTCAGGAGAGACCGGTCCCTGGAGAAGGACATCCTGCTTGGTCAAGTAGAGGGGCAGCGGCAATGAGGAAGACCCTCGACCAGATGGACGGACACAGTGGCGACAGCCGTGAGGGTGACTCAGGGCTGGGCGGTGTTTGGTTGCTCTGAGTCAGCCGACTCACTGGCACCTGACAACAGCGGCAGCAACACCCATTCCAGAGGATGAGCCCAAAGCCGGCCTCCTCCCTCCACTCCATTCTGACTTGCAGCGACCCTGTCGGGCAGAGTGGAACTGCTCCCTCGGATTTCCAAGGTGGTAAATTGTCACAGGAGCGGCTGCTGGGTTTGTGGCACCCATCTTGCAGTTAGAAGCCCAAGGCCTAACCCACTCGGTCCCAGGGTTGGATGGAATCTGCCGTGTCCAGGGCTCGCCTGTTGTTGCCGGGGCCTCTGACACCCTCACGCAGCCCTGTGAGGGTACAGGCACCTCGGCCCCACTTTACACCCCCTCAGGGTTAGCCCTGCGGGGCCTCAGAAGAGCCTGCAGGCTGGAGTCTGTGGCTTTGGTATGGCTTGGGGTCCGGTTGGCCCAGTGGGTTGAGTTGTGGGGCTGCTAGCTGCCAGGTGGGTGGTTCAAGGCCAGCAGCCGGCCTCTTCCGGGGGAACGATGATGTCACCTGCACCGCTGGTGAGGGCTGGCAGGTCCCCAGAGTGCCTCAGAGCCAAGGGGTGACTGGGAGCCGAGACGGGCGTGTGCTCTGGGGCAGTGACGCCCCTACTCTGAGCCCCACTGTGCCCCATCTAATGGGGCACCCACTCACACCCCTCTCACCCAGTGGAGTGTCTGGGGACGTGAGAAGAGGCAGCTGCTCAGACTGGCTTGGGGGCTTTCTGGCCTGAGGGCAGACTTGCCAAGTCCCCTCAGGACCTTGGGAATGATGGTGGCTAGGAAGCCCCAAACCTAAGTCCTCCTTCCTCACCCCTACCAGGCTCACTCAGTTTGGACTTGGAAGGACAGCCTCCCCTGCGCTCAGGCCCTGTCCAAACCCAGGATGCCCCTCGTCTCACACCCAGACCACGTGAGTGCCCTCTCTCCATACCCAGACTAGGCTGGTGGGGATGGACCTGGGGGATGGGGGGCAGCAGTCGAAGCCAGGGAAGGGGCAGGGAGGCTGACAGCCTTGAGCATTCTCCATGGGGAGAATGGCGGCCCCTAGGCTGGCCATCTGAGGACATAGAGGGCGGAGAGGAGGCCCAGGGACTGTCTGGGTACTGCTGGGGTCTGTGTTTCGTGTCAGGAGCCCTGGTGATGGGGCGGCTAAGCACCCCGCTGTTAACCAAATGGTCAGCAGCTCAAACCCACCAGCCGCTCCATGGGAAAAGGAGGTAGCAGTGGGCTTCTGGAAAGATTCGAAGGCTGGCAAGGCCTAGTGGGCAGTCTTCTGTCGCATGGTCACCGCGAGTGGGGAGTGGGCTCAACCTCCTGGGGCCTGCTTACAAACACACACCTTCTTAGAGGGATGGGGCTAGTGTGTGTGTGTGTGTGTGTGTGTGTGTGTAGCTACTATAAGAAATGGGGGAGGGGCTGAGAATCTGGAAGCATCTTGTAGCGGAGGGGGGCTGGGAGGATAAATGGGGCCTGGAGGGGGAACCAATGGTCCTGGGAGCCTGGGCCCAGCACTGGTGGTGGTGGGACTGAGGGCCATTTCTATGCTCCCTGTGGAATGGTGACCCTAGAAGTGGCTCAGAAAGCCCTCCCTCCAGGCCGGGTACCAGCTTAGGTACAAGGGGACCTTGGAGACCCCAAGGGGCCACTCCCATTGTCTGGTTTCCCCGTGCACTCCCATCCGAGGTACACGCCAACACTAGCCCATCATCTACGAAGTGTGCAGTATGGTGAGAAAACACTGGGACCCTTTTGTGAGAATGACCCCAATGGGAGAGGGCCCTGTGACTGGAAGTGAGCACGTGCCGCCGGGACGGATGGCGCCATAGACCATGGAGACGCAGGGCGGCCACAAACCTCCAGTGTGTGAAAATCAAACCAAGACCAAAATCCACCGCAGTGTTTGTGAGAGGCACGTTAAAGTGAGGTCTGCCTGGGTCACCACATCTAATGAACATGACACGGGGCTGTCCACTCCCATAAGCAGCTGCCCTCTCGGAAACCCACAGGGGCAGTTCGCCCCTTCCTCCAGGGTCGCTGTGAGTCGAGTAGGCAGTGAATTTGTTTGTTTTGCAGTCCTGCCTCGTAGTGGTCACACACTGAGCTGCCATTTGCAAGGTCGGCAGTTTGAAACCACTAGCAGCTCTGTGAGAGAAAGATGAGGCTTTCAACTCCTTCAAAGAGTTCCAGTCTCAGAAACCCACGGGGTACAGTTCTTCTGTGGCCGGTGGGGTCTATAGTTGGAATCAACTCCATAGCTGAGATTTTTTTTTTTTGACAGCCTCTAAAAAGAAATTCAGCTCCCATCCCCCCTTGAACCGTCAACTCTGCCTCTTGGCACTGTGGGTTCTAAGGCTTGTATCTTTACGAAAGCCAACTGCTCTGTCTTTTCCCCTTGGAACTGCTGGTGGGTTTGAACCATGGACCTAGCGGTTGTCAGCTGAGAGCTTAAGCACTCATCACCAGGACACTGCTCCCTCACCACTTTACACAGAGAGGTTAGGTCAGCCGTCAGGAGTCCCGCAGCTAGCAAGTGGAGTGGCTGGGATACGAAGCCAGGCAGACAGCCTGGTGTTTCAGTGTCTGACAGGAGCTGAGCAGGACAAGCAGAGAGCCCAGAGCTCTGCACAACACCTCCCTCCACCCCCTCAGAGACCTGCCCAGGCCCGTGTGCCTTCCACGAGGGCCTGCCCAGCTCTGGCTTCAGTCCTGTCATCTGTCAACCAGGCTCAAGGACAGATCCTCCTGTGGCTGGCATGGGGAGACCACTGCCGTGTTCTGTGGCTGCTGGGGAAGGGAAACCAGGCACCTGCAGCTGGCTGGGCCCTGGGCTGGGGCTCCAGAGAGGCTGTGTGTCATACTAATATCATAACCCGTCAATCCCCAGCAGAGAGTGTGAGGGAGGGACCCCGTTTCTCAGTGACCCTCTGTGTCTGAGGCTGGTTTATCGTCAGAACCGACTCTCAGGGGCCCCATGTATATCAGAGGGGAGCTGGGCACCCCAAGCTTTCAAAGTAGATCGATCACCAAGGCTTTCTTTGCAGGAACCTCAGTGGACCAACCAAGCCTGCAGCCTTCGGTCAACAGCTGGGCAGTGTGTGTGTATTACCCTTCAGGGCCAGCTCTGTCAGTGGGAAGACTGCAGGGCAGGTGGGGACTCGGGGGCTGGTCCTAAGAGCCAGGGAGCAAGTAGTTCTGGGGAGAGAGGAGCCCCCTGCAGCCCCCTGGGGATTGCAGCAGCAGAGAAGAACAGCACTCACCCAGGCAGGGGTGAGGGTGCCGGGGTGTGGCTGGCCTCCAGGGCCAGTCTCGGTGGGATGGACGGCAGCTCTCACACCCGGGGCCAGTGGTGTGGTGGCGGCAGCGGCAGCGAGGGGGTCGAGAGCGGGCAGCACAGCGGGCAGCATGGCCGTGGCACTGACAGCGACCTCTGACGCCAGCTGAGGCCAGCCCGGCCCGGTCCCCGAGCTCAACGAGGAGGTGACTGGCCACCAGGCTGGTCTTTGGGCCTGGCCGGGCATGGAAGGTCAGCCGCTCAGGGCCCCCCAGGGCCCCGGGCCAGGTGGGCCTGCGCCACAGTGGCCTCCAGGGACCCCCTGGGGCCCAGGCCGAAGACAGGACCAGGGCAGGGGGCCCCGGGCTGCAGAAGCGCAGGCTGACAGACGTCAGGAGGAAGGGCGCACCCAGGGCCAGGGCCAGGCTGCCATTGCAGGAGGCTTGGTCTGGCCTCCCTAGGTCTGGCCCTGGGGAGAGGGCACAGGTCTGAGAACAGGAGGCAGTCACTCCAGCCAGCTGGGTGACAGGCGGGAGGCAGAAGCGGGGCTGGCCCTCTGGATCATAACAGGGGTCTGCAGCCGCCTGGCTCAGGAGGAGCAAGAGGGCCAGGACTGAGGGCATGGTCAACGAGGAGGCAGCACCTGGTGGGAAGAGGAGGGGCCTGGCTGGGGGACCCGCTGTGAGAGTCCCCCCCCCGCTACCCCCCCTACGCCCCTGCCTAGCCCCTTCCCCGGCTGCCTCAGAGCGAGGAAAGTCTTTCCATCTGGGGAGAGTTCTGTTTACAGAACCCAAAGGGGAAGGAACGCAAGCAAAATCGAGAATTTTGCCTGAACTAATCCGGAGCTTAACACCCCAGCGCTCTCCCTCCGTTTGCATTGAGCGGGCAGGGGCCCTTGGGGAGAGGGCGGGGCCCTGGAGCAGGACAGACAGATGGAGAGACAGACAAAGAGAGGGAGAGGGTGGTGGGTGGCACCACTACGGACAGGAGCCCAGGGAGGCTGGGAGACAGAGGTCTGGCGCCCCTAGGCCCTAAGGCGTGGGAGGCCCGAGGCCCAAGCATGGGGGCCGCACAGGCAGGGGACCAGGTCGGAGGCAGTACCCCTCCTTACCCCTCACCTCCCTAGAGAGCTGGGAGGACAAGGGGCCTTGTCATGCCGTCCGGCGGGCGATCAGAAGGGAGGCCGAGCCCCAGCCCACGGGGATCAGAGCGAGCCCCTTTCCCACGTGGGGCCCTAACCCTGCTCTCCACACCCTGGGCACGGAGGGAGATTATCACCCAGCAGCCCCAGGCTCCCTGTGCCCCCTGGCACCCACCCCAGCTCTTCCCCCTTAACCCTTTCCAACCCAGAGAAACGGGTGGGCCAGCTGGAGGCTGGGGAGCAAGATAGCCAAGTCCCTGTGGGCCTGGGAGGCGGCAGCCAGTCTCCTCCACAGGATGGGCAGGGCTTCTAGGATCTCAACCCCACCCACCATTCCAGGCTGCAGGGTCTGGGACCAGACCCCCCCCCCATCTCCCCGTGATCTAAGGGTTCCCAGAGCAGATGGGGGAACAGATGCTGGTGGGGTGGGTGATGGAGGGTCGGGGGGCGGGAGGAGAGTGGGAGGCAGGGCTGGGCGCTGGAACCCAAGGTGCCCGAGGGGTTGCCGTCCAGACTTGGGGGAGCATGTGGCCCTGAAGTCCCTGTCTGGGGCAGCAGCCCCCCATGAACTCATTCGTGACTGGTTGGGGGGAAGGGCAGCAGAGCCCCTTACCCTCCTATCTCGGCCCAAGCTGGCATGCACACAGGGCTCAGGGGGGCTGGGAAGGATCCCCTGGGGTACCATCTCCCCCAGCTAGTCTCATGGTTCCTGTGTCCCCACTGCTGCTGCCACCTGCAGTCGTGCCCTCCATCCCTCCCCCACTCCCGACACAGGCATCACACTCCTCCGCCCTCTGTCCTCCACCCTCCCGGGAGCCTGGCGCCATCTTGGGCCTGCACGCGGGCATTGGCCTTGCCCCTTAGGGGACTTGGGGAGGACACAGCCCCACCCAGGGCCCCTCTTCTCTTGCCTGTGTAGCTCAGGGGCTACCCCATTCTGGCCCTTAGCACCTGAGGGACACAGGCACCTGGATCCTGGGGACAAAAGACATCCCTGCCCCCCCCCCCCCAGGAGCCCCAATGAGTGGTTCCCCTGCTGGACCTTCTATGGGGCCTAAGTCCCACCTGGCCAGCCTAGCTCTGGCTCCTTGAGACAGGTAGTCAAATCCCTCATAGTTGGGGCTCATAGGGCCCCTCCAGGACCCAGTCTTCCTTCCCAGCCCCTCTCTGCACCCCTAGCCCCGCTCCTAGGCCCCTGACTTTGGCTGATCCTGAAAGTCAGCTTCTCCGAGCCCTCCGGGTCCTGCTTCCTCTGCAGGAGCGGCGGCAGCAGCAGTAGCCCCCTCCCAGAGACAAGTGTCTGCTCAGCCCCTGCCAGTGGGGTTGCTGGGCGGGGGCTCAGAGGCCAGCAACACCACCAGACTTTGCAGGCCAGACCAACTGCAGCCCTGCTCTTCCTGCAGCGACCCCGGACCTCAGAGCCAATGGAAACCACAAAGGAAGGGAGAGCTGGCGCCCCCGAGTGCCCGCATGGCGTCCCGAAGCCCCCAGCCAGACAGCCACAAGCAAGGTGGCCCAGGAGCTTCAAGGCAGGTAGGAAGGGGGCCCCTCACTCACTCACCTGCCGGTCCAGAGTCCCAGCGGTGCAGCCACGTGGTGGTGGGCGAGCCGTGGCGGCTGCAGGCTCTCCTGGGGAGGGGGCTGACCTTCAGGCCGGCGGCGGGGCAGTTTCCACCCGGAATTCAGCCGGGTCTCTGCCCCTGGCTGAGTAACCTCAGCCCGCCCCGCCTCCCCTGTGGAACGTGCTGTCGGTGGTGGTTAAGGCGAGGGGGAGATGAGCTACCTTCATCTGTGGCGAGGCCCTGGGGAGCCCTACAGACCTCAGCGGGTACTCCCAGAGCGGTGGGGGCGGGGCGGGGCGCCAGAATCAGCGGTCGGCGGGAGACAGCAGGGACACCCCGGGAGTGCAGGGGGGCATGGCGCACAGCCAGCGCCCCACTCACCCTGGGCCGCCTGCTGCTTCGGGCAAATGCCACTGTCCACGCTGACCCACGCCGGGGATGGGCTTGGGGGGCCGGCTCAGAATAGAACGAGAACGTGTCCCCTCATTGCTGCTGAGTAGAGAAGCCGCTGCCGCTGCGGGAGCACGCGCCGACGAGATCTTTGCTGGTGGACACGGTGGACGGGCTGGGTACGCCACTGTCCCAATGCCTAACACATGGTGACTCTGGTTCCAGGGAACCCTCCGAGGTGCAGCCCCCATGGGACAAGGGATCAGAGGGTCCTGCTGGGGCGGGGCAGGGAGGGGTGCTGGAAGAGCAATGTCCCCAAACTGGAACCCACTGCCCCTGTAGGAGGAGGCTCCAGGGCTCCTCACCCTCATGCCACTCAGAGGCATATGGGACCTGGGGTCAGGTGGAGTTCAGACAGACTCGCAGAAGTTGTGGTGACTGTTGTGAGAGAGACAGCCAGGCGGGAAGACCCGCTGGACCTTCTCATAGGCAGCCCAAGGGCAGTCCAGCGATGGCCTAGGAGTTGGCATGGACCAACCAACAGCCAGCCAGCATTGTGCTTTTTGGAGCCTTCTCCTCCAGGCCAGTCCCAGCGGGTGACCCAAATATTTTCCGGGTTCACGATACCAGTGGCAGGAACCTTGGTGGTGAAGTGGGTTGCGGGCTTGGGCTGCTAACCACAAGGTCAGCAGTTCAGATGCACCAGCACCTGCTGCCTGCACCACAGAAGGAAGAGGCTGCCTGCTCACCTCAAACGTTAAAGTTTTGGGCGGAGCCTATTTGAACATAGGTTGCCATCATCATTTCGAAAACATTTTCCACTTGAGCCCGCGATACAATTGATGGATGGAATGTTATAAGAGCTGTAAGAGCCCCCAATAAAACGATTTGAAAGAAAGAAAGAAAGAAAGAAAATGCCAGATTCTGTTTTGCAACTGTGAAGGATCTGTCTCCACGGGAACTTAGAAGAAGGTCATGCGAAGACAGAGGCTGAGGTAAGAGTGATGGGGATCGAATGCCTGAGACCCCAGGAGTTGTAGGAACGATTCTCTACCAGAAACTAGAGAGAGCCTGACCCTGTTGACCCTTGATTTTGGGCTTTGAGCCTTCAGAGCTATGAAAAAAATAAACATCCATTTAAACAACAACAACAAAGAGTTAAAGTCTTGGCAACCCAAGGGGCTGGTACTACTCTGCCCTCTAGGGTGGCCACAAGGCGGCATGGAGTTTTTGTGAAACAGTGAGGGATTTTTGGAGAAACATCTTTATGCTGTTACAGCCACTGCCTAATCTGATAGCCGATTTCAGTAAGCAAGCTCCGCCTTCCAGCAGGTGTGCCCTATGTTGTAACTCCGCTAAACTGTGGTTCGATTTAAAGATGCCCTCAGAGGAGAGTTTTGTCTCGGGTTTAAAGATTAAAGCGTGCTTGCGTGTCTAGAGCGTAGTGACAGGGGAGCGGCGTGCTTTTCTCTTCACCTCCGTTCTAAAATCCTGAGCCGCCCCCCTCCCCCCAGGGCACCTGGGGGAGGTAGCGCAGGGAGGGGCAAGAAGCAGCGAGCAGTAATCCCGCCCCAGAGAGCAGAGAGAGCGCACCTCTCTGGCGTGGGCCAAGCCAGGCGGAACCCACAGCTCTGGAAAGAGCCCTGCCTCTTGACCCAAAGATAACAAAGGCTGGCCGTGTACCGGCAGGGAGGGGGGAAGGTGTGTCTGCGTTAACGGGGACCCCCCCCACACACCACCCTGTCTCCCCCAGAACATGCTGGAAAGGCCCAGGGCAGTGACCTAGAGCACAGATTTGCAGCCCCCACCCGCTCACCAGCTGGGCCACTTGTCGCCTGCACCCTCTCCCTCTCTGTGCCACTTCACCGGTTTACATGGAGAGAAATGTAGACGTTCGTCCTGGAAGCATACGGGCACCAGGCGCTCCAGGACCTGCTCATGTCTCTGCCCTAAAACCCCGGGTTGGCGGGACCCTTCCGCAAAATTGACCGCCCGCGGCCCCTCTGGCGCGTCACTCCCCAGTTTGCCTCTAGTCGAACTCAACTGCAGATCTTTAGTAAAGTTGCCGATGAAAGCGGGCGGGCGCTGCGCTGCAGGGCTGCCAGCCCTCATCCCGGGAAGGACCCGCACACCGGTTCTCTCCCGCGTCTCTTCCTGCCGCGCCAGGCAGCAGGTGTCAGACGGCCGAGAAGCCAGGAGAGGCGATCGGGTCGCTGGAGCCTGCGTGAAGGACACCCTGAAGAATGTCAAGCCGGCGACCGCTGAGCATCGAACTGGATGTAGCAGGGTGGGCGAATGCGCAGGTCTTAGAACGCAAAGGGCAGCCCTGGGCCGTGGTCATTCCTGGGGACCCACCGGCTGGGCCTGGGGCCTGGGTAAGAGCCTGATGCCCCACTTGCAATGTAGCAGGTAGCACCCCAGGCAGCCTTCCCGCCCCCACCCCCCAAGTTGAGCAGGAGGCGTGATGTGATAAAAGGTTAAGGCTGACAGGCCACGGGCTTCCCGAGGGAAGCCCCTCCCACCCTCTCCCAACATGATGATTGGATTTGAAGTTTGGTCTGAAGATAGAAAACCTCAATCATATTTCAGGGCGCTCTTTAGAAAAAATGGATACCAGACCGAATAGCAGCCGCCTTGCACAGAAAAGAGCCACATTTATGGAATGTCTTGGGGGGCCAGGAGGAAGGTTCAGGGTTTTACAAAAGCGAAGGTCAGGACCCCTGTCCGGCTGCAGCAGCGACTCATCCAGCTGCTCCCCACCATCTCAGTCAAACGTCCCTTTCCGGGTCTGACTGCTGTTAAATGGAAGATGCCTGCAAAGCTTTGAACAATTAAACTCGTGTGAAACCTCTGCACAGGGGCACTGTAGCCACAGCCGGGTGAGCCCACTGCCCACTGCCACCGAGTCACTTCTGGCTCATAGTGCCCCCTCTGTAGGGTTTCCTAAGCTGGGATCCTTTTTTAAATCATTTTATTGGGGGCTCGGACAGCTCTTATCACAATCCATCCATCCATTGTGTCAAGCACATTTGTGCATATGTTGCCATCATCATTTCAAAACATTTCTTTCTACTGGAGCCCTTGGTTAACAGCCCATCCCCCCCTCCCTCATGAACCCTTAATAATTTATGGTGTTTTGTTTTCATGTCTTATACTGACGGCTGTCTCCCTTCACCCACTTTTCTGTTGTTGGCCCCACTGGGAGGGAGTTACATGTTTATCATTGTGATCGGTCCCCACTTTTTCCCTCCACCTTCGCCTTTCCCTCCTGGTATCGCTCCTCTCATTATTGGTCCTGAGGGGCGCTGGGATTCTTTACTGGAGCAGCCAGCCTCCTGTACAGTTGCCCGGAAGGCATATACTTTCGACACCTCCAGAGGCAGTGAGCACAGAGCGGGGAGGGTGCCCACAGACCAAGAAAACCAAACTCCCTGCCGTCAGCTCATGATGACTCATAACGGCCCCTGTGAGTTCCTGAGCTGTAACCTTATACGGGAGTAGAAAGCCCCATCTTTCTCCCGCAAAGTGGCTGGTGGTTTCGAACTGCTGACCTTTTGGTTAGCAGCCCCCAACTCATAACCAGCACTACACCACCAGGGTTCCTGGGCCCACCAAAGCCACCGAGAAATCTAGATGGAGAGGATATAGCAGCTCAGTCAGAACCTGACTGCTGTCCAAAGGTGCTGTTCAGACTCAGGGGGACCCTACTGTACAACAGAAGGAAACACTGCCGGTGCCACTCCATCCTCGTAGTCACGGTGGCAGCCACAGTGTCAGTCCATCTCGGTGAGGGTCTTCCTCTTTGTCACCGAACTGTAGTATTAAATAAAATATGGCGCTGGGGAGTGGGGTGACCAGCCCCCACCCGCTGCTAGAACTCACTGGTTCAGTAATACTACCTCTGGGTTCAGTAATGCACAATTGTACGGTTGAGATATATAAGTATTATATTAAAGTCATCGAGAGCATGAGAGATAATACAATAATACAGTCAGGCATG